ACCACTGATAGTGCTGGTGACCACAGAGCTGGTGATCACCATGCCAATCTCCTTTCTGGATTATATCCCACAGGCTACTAGTAGGTATGTGGATAAATACTTTAACAACATTATTAAAACTCCTTTGCTCCTGTATTTTGTGGCCTTTTAATACTGTTCCCCTTTCATGACCAAAGACACCAGACTCAACCACTCAGCCCTTCCTATGGGAATGCTATACTAAAATTCTTGTGCAGACAGATGCTCTGATGATGAAATGCCACTACACACACAGAGCCCATTCGGGATTTTACTGTGCAGACCTGTTGGCATGATAGATAGATTCTTCAAATGAAACCAAGATCTCCCTGTGCTGTTCTGTGTGCAAACACAGATTGCTTCATGTGTGGAAATGACTGGAAAAGTAATCAAGAATGGTTTGAGGAAGAACAGAAACACTAAGAATTTGTCCAGAGTACTTTTGAATTCCCTGCTAATATACCAGAATGCTGTTTTGTGCCTTCTGGGGTCAGGGGAAAAAAAATGGGACAAAACAAGACAGCCTCCTCTAAAGACAAACAGAGTGTGGTCAAGTGTGCTTGTACCATACACATCCGTAAGGGACCAAGTTTCCACTTGACTCTCGGCAATTAAAGAGCTCACATACCAGCTTGTCCAGTGCTAAGACCCATACCAGCTCATTGGAGCCCGCTGCTCTCCTGCAACCCACAATGGAGACAGACATCAAGGTCACAATCAGTAAGAATGCACATACCATCAGGAAAATACAGTTGCCACAGTTCCCATTTCTGTTGTTTGTCTTTTTTGCATAAAATAGTATAAGAATGGTATCAGTAAGTATTAAGTGTGGATCAAAATAGGATCAATTCTCATTTTTCCTGCCACACAGAAATCCAAAACTTCAGCTGGCTGAGATGAGGCACCATCAGTAACTGACTTAAAAAAATCCCACTTCTTGCAACTTCAGGGATTATTTTTCATACAATATCAACCTATCTGGTAGCTAAATCTTACTCTGCTTAGTTCATGACTGTGCCCAGAGATGGTTTTTCTCCAGATAGCTTCTGTGGTCTATTTACCATCCTTTCTGTTAATAGTGTGGATTGGATGCTTTGCCTCCACTTCAAAAGGTTCATTCTCATGTGCAGGATATTTTTCTTTTTTTTTTTTTTTTTTTTAATTTGGTTTGGTTGCTAAGGAGGAAGCTTTAGCACAGTAGGCAAGGATTTAGTCACATGTGAGCCACAGGGAACATTATCCTCAGAGATTAATTTGGAAATCAAGTGACAATTGGTAGGGTATGTGTTTATTTTCTATTTCTTGAAAGCTTTAAAAGTACCACAGAATTTCTGCATCCTTTGAATGAGATTTATTCTTCTGCTGTATTATTAAACCTAAGAGACAACATAGAGAACACCATGCTTGTCTCAAGTGTCAGAGATAAAATTAGTAATTTCACTGCAAATCAGAAAACAAACTAGATTATTAGGAAGAACACCTCTATGCTCATCTAAAGGATGTCTCACAGCCACCTTTCAGATGTACTCAAGACAGCTGCCTCACTATAAAGTTAATTCAATAAGCAAAGGGAATGTAATTCATTTGGCACATACTGTTTCTAATCAAAGTCTATTTCTTGGCATCTAAACTGTGTCTGTGACAGAATGTTAAGCCTGAAAACATACTGATAGCCCTCAAAGTTTTTCAGAAAATCCAAGGAATATAATGTGCACATATTCAAGAAATTCTCCTCATTCAAGTAATAAAGATGAAATATGTGTTACCAGGTTTCATCAGGCTGAACTGTGGTCCGAGGAAGACCTTACAAGAAATGGCTTTTCCTCTCATATATGTACAGGGCAGAAAGTCAGATGACTTTAAAATTTTTCCTTCTTTGTAATTACTGTACCACAGAGCACTAGCTGTGATGACAGCAAAGCCTGTGAGCAAACATTATCTGTAGAGAACAGTTCTGGTATATCTACTACTGAATTCACTCTTAGAAGCATGGAACTGCTTTTTTCAATCCCTCCCAAGATGGGCCTCCCATCTTGCATATCTGTGTTGTGGGGAACAGGTTAAGGGATCACATCCCTCCTCCTTCTGAAATGCATCACCTCAGGAGACTGCCCTACTGCAGTGTGAACCTCCACCACCCCAGGCAGTCATGATGAAAAGCCATTAAACTAACCACCTTGGCTACAGAAGAATATTTCACAGTGCTCTTGGACAACATAAGTTACAAAACAGCAGCAAGGAGCATGGATTGCCGCATGGTGTCTGCTCACACTTTTCCTAGTCTGATGGATGCTGTGACTGAGGGAAAACAGGTTCTCCATCTAAGGTAGCCACTGCTCTTCACATAATAAATAACCCCATGACCAACAAACAGCTTCAAAGATCAAAACCTGGTATGTTTTATTGAATCGGAAAGAATCTCAACTTTGCTTTAGTTACAGAATTAAGTCAATATGTAAAAGGCCACTGTACAAGTGGTGAAAAAAAAAAGAAATTATTACAGGTTTTATTCAAAAATACCAAAAATTCCCTATCTTAAACTTAATACTTAATTTAGGGAAAAAAGGCCAAACTAAACCCCACAACAAAATTATTAGAAAAATTCAACCTTATTCCATATTTGCATTCAGATCTTTAAAATTCAATGTGAGGGGAAAACTCCACCCAAGTATGGTTACAAAACTCCTGCCAAAAGCAAGATACTGAATTCTTAATGTAAAGCTCTTCACCAGCATTTCTTAATGAGAAGAAAACACTGCAATACATATAAATTTATGCAGTAACTGGAAACAAAATCACATATGTTATCTACCTGGACACAATGATGGGATTTGATCTGTGTATTTATTCTGAAAAGGACAGAATAATCTTTTTACAAACAATTTGGAGATGGTTCAAAGTAGCAAATATAGCGCAGCTCGAACACATATCTTGGCTCCTTTAGTATGGATTACATGCTTTTAAGTTACTGAAACATTAAGGCAGCAAGATTGAAGAGAATTGTGCAAATTCTACTAGCTGCACTTCATCATTTAGTTGCTCACCTATTTATTGTTTAACAGGATCTTCACAAAATGAGGAGCCGTTCTGAATATACTTGATGTTTACTTTTAGAGCAGTTAACTCAACATACAAGCTCAGTTTCTATGTACATTCTCATACATTCCAAGTTTGCATTCCTACAGTGTATTTTTGTATTAAAAACTCAAAATGAGATGTCACACTTGGAAGGCTAGATATTAGCTTTGGAGATAATTTTAAAGGTCCATTTCTTTCATAGTGACTAAAAGAGTTCTGCAAAGAAAGAAATAAGCATTCATGCAGCAGATGTGATTACACACTTTTAGACCATGTTAAAAATATCCAACATTTCAATGTTTTTCAACCCAATTATTTACTGACATTTCTAGTTACTATCTGAAAATCCGCTGTAGAGAAAGGCAGACTAAGAGTTCAAAGGTTCAGGACATTCAGAGCTCCGCCAAACTTATTCAGCATACACTTGAAGACTTTATTTTTTGAAACTGCATGAGGAAAACAGATTATGTGCCAGAGAAGAAGAAAATGGATTTAAACGGCCATTTTATTGATGTAGCAAGCTTCAAGAATGACCTGTTAGTTTCCTGATTGTGCTACTTCATCTTCTAAAGAACACTCAGAAAGATGTTTAACCGAAAAAACAAATTCCTGAACAACAAGGTGTTCATCAGTAAAACCTATCAACAAAGTAGCATTTCAGTACAGAGAAGTGCTCTTCAGACTCAGCAGAAAGGGAGACTCTTCAGACCAATGCAGCCTATAAATCATAGATGAAGGATATACAAACAGTTGCAAGTGCAGTCGCACAAGCACTTCTGAATCATATTCCACTGCTCATAAAAGCTTCTATGTCAGTGTTTTACCATTTCAGGTAAAGTTTTTATCTATTTTTTCAAGTTTAAATTCTCTTGCAAAAGTTGCCATAAAAATGGCTCAACCTGTCTTATAGATAGGCATGTTTTGTTTGAGGCACTAAGTCATTCATCTCATAGAAGGGGACAGTGTTCCCAACAGACCTTCCTGACACAAGCGTTTCCATGCAAAGAGCAGAACTGAGAGAGACCAGTGACCCCCACTACAAAATTTTGTTTTACACTTTGCAACACTTCTTTATTTTTAAGGAGAAAAAAAAAAGCTCTTGAGTCTTGGCATTAAATTTCAGGTTTCCTACCAAGTTGTCAAGAACATAGTCACACATATATGCCTTTAAGCTGAGAATTGGCTGTGATTTATCAAAGTCAGAATGGTATAAATAATGCATGTCTTGCACAGGCAGCTTTTTTTGTAATGTAATAACTAATGGCCTGTCAACACAGTATTCCATGTACAGAACCAATACAATGGTCTGCAGCCTCTTTCCTGTATGATAAATGAAGAAGGCCTGTTAGGAGTCAAATTCACTCTGTCTTGGATATAATGCGTAATGGTATGGACACAGAGAAAGCATGCATCTTTATGGTGTGTAAAGGTAGTTAAGGATGCAAATTCTGCAGCATCAGGGTTTGCTGATGAGACAAGATGAAAATATTATTTACCCAATACCTGAAGCCTCATACATAAATAAAAACTTAAATTATCTAGATCACACAGATAGGTTTCTCCATATCCAGTAAGGAAATCCCACGCAAGATATTCAGTGCTCATGGTAAGAAACCACATTTGAAAAAATTAGCAAAACCTGCATTCAGAAAAAGAAAAAAAGGTGAAGCCAGTACCATAATATAGTATCTCATTAGGCTTTAGTGGCAAATTTTCTTTCAACCTACAAAAGTTTGTCCTTCAAGGTGTTTCTCTTGAAACATTTAGGATTATGCCAAAGTCCTGACTAGCACACAGTAGTATGGAAGAAGTGTATTTGCAGGAGTTTCTTTAAAAGGAATTAGAAAAACAGCACTATCAACACACGCATTCAGCACAGTCAGCACACCTTACCCACCAGAAACTTACCTTTCTGTGATCGTTTCTCTGAGACCACTAGCAACACCCTTCACCACCGTACTAGCCTTTGGAGTCAGCACTACTTGAGATATAAAAAAGGAGCCCTTCTTTCTTCTTTCGGTGAGCGATGCCTGGAGGAATTGAATCAGTTTTTCCGGATCCGTTGTGTTTGCCCAAGGAGCTGGCATCATCTGGCCTGGCCAAAGAAATGCTACCTCAACAGCTACTGGACTGTGGTAGAACACCAGCACTTGGTGTTCCTTCTCCCACAGGTACTGGAGGCTGACTTCATGGGCAAATATAGCAGGACACATTTTGTTTCCATATGTATCTTTGAGCATCTGGACAAGCTTTTCATGATGGCATTTCTGCATCCCGTAGAAGTGATTGAAGTCCAAGAAGACCACTTCTTTTGGGTGATCAGTAAGAAATGCATTGATCTCCTCCAGACCTTCCTTGACTTTGGCACTGAATAAACCATGAGCAAAGTAGAGTTCATTGTCTGGGTCTCTGGGCTTGGTGGAAATTCTAAGATCAAAATACCGTATACCTGCCCCTAGCTGGCCGGTGAAGTTCATGGTCTGTGTAGCCAACCACTTTCTCATCAGCTTTTTTGCCACAGTCCCAAAAACTGACACAAAATTCTGGACTGTCTCTGGCTGTTCAGGCCCAACCGGAGAGGCTTCATCAATGTAGAAGCTAAATGAGTCATGAGATCCTAAAAACACAACAGAAGAAAAGTATCAATACTGTATTCATATACCAAAAGTCATTAGTGATTTTTTCTTAATAATTTTCTGACCTGTACCAGCATTCACCAACCACCTTCCCCATCCTTTCACTCAAAGACAGCACATTTATCTGGCAGCATTTACCCCACCACACCTTGCAGGAACTTAAAATAAAGGTAATGACCACTTTACTGCTTCTCTGGACATTTGGTCTCTCTCTCTTCCAGCTCTTACTTATGCCTTTAAGCTCAATGAAGCCAGTGGGCTCTGAACATAAAAGCAATTCTGGTAGCAAAACTAGTCACATAATAAATCCCTCAAGCCAACAAGGAGAGTCTGGCCTTGCACACCAAATCATGCCCTGTCTAGCTTGCAGAACCAAAGCAAGAAAAACCAAAACAAACCAACAATATTCCACATACACCTTTACAGCCAGCTAAAATAGGAGCTGAAAAAATGCCTAGGACTCATAACCTTTCTGACCTTTATTTCAAGTCTCATGTGGTCACCCATGAGGCTACTGAATGCTGTTTTCCTTCTTAAATTTACCCCTGAAATCCCTTGCTTTCCCTTGCTGTATAAGTATAACAGATAGAGCCAAATACCGCATTGCATTCCACTGATAAAATTCACAAAGTCTGCTGCATGCACTTGACAAGAATGGGACATACTAGTCCACATGTCTATGTACAGGAGTTATCGTTTTCTACAGCACAAAGTTGAATAAAAATACATATGGCACTTCACTACACAAAATTCTCTATCTTAAGGTATGCCCATTAAAAAATATGAACAAAAACCAACCTCAGAACAAATGCAAGAATTAATATTGCTCAGCTTTTAGACATCTACATGAAAGCAGCTGATAAAGCTAAGGACATCTGCAAACACATGATTATTCCTGTGAGGGACTTTGTCTTGCTTTATGGAGAGAAGAGCTGACTGTAGGATATGCTTATCACCTTTGTCTACCACTGCTTGCTGAATACCTGATGGTGAGACCTGGCAGTTTACACAGAAGCCCTGTCCAATTGCTGGCACAGGCACATTTCTGCTGTCTCAGCCAAAGAAGCTGCTTCTGGTCAGACTCACCGCAGCCGCAGGTCTGCTCGTCAGCTGGAGTCACACTGCTTGCAAAACTCCTTCAAGGTCAGCAGGACTTGTATTCCTGAAATTGACTACAGCACTAGGCCCTCAGAGATCCAAATCCTACATCAAAATGAGTTCAGGGCACTGGTCTTGCCTGTTACTGATATTTTTGTAGGTGATTTTCAAAATTACTTTCCAAAGCACGCATGCTGTAGCAAATAAGTATATTAATGAAATCCTGCTAGTCAGTCATTTCTGAGAGCAGTGCTATTTTACCTGAACTGGAATAAACCCTATACATTGAAGTGACAGCTATAACATTTTCTTCTTTAACAATAAGTGGTGTCACGACAAATTACCTCAGACTCTGGCTTGGATTTGGCTTTGCTTAATTTGAGAAATGTCCTTAAATTTTGTACACCCCTGTTTTTCATGGTTGTCATTTCGAATTGCATTTTGCTTTAAATATTTTTGATGAAGCTTTCTATTGCTAAGTGTTGAAGTGATAACGTATTTCTTGCAGAACCTGATTAGATCATGCAGTATCTGGTTACACACTGATATCCCCAGGGACTAAATCAGCATACAGAATTCTAATGGTAAAACAAATGATTAGAGCAGTGACTTGTGTTTCAACAGTATTACAGGGAAAATCAATGAGACACATTAAATGTTCTGCTCAATGTAACCTGCACCTAATCTAGAAATCAAAGTAAATCCAGTCTTGTTTAAAACAAGGCATAACTACTGATATTAGCAAGGGATAGATCTTGCAAACCCTCACTTATTGAAGTCCTGTTCGCTTTTTTTAGGGTTTTATGTCAGGTTAAGTAGACATGTAAACATGATCAACTAATTGCAGCAGTAAGCTCAAAACAATTAAGATCAATTAAACCATTTGTCCTTTATTTTTTCATTCACAGACACTGGCAACTTCAAGTTGCAGAAGAGGTAGTAGCTAAAGTTGACCAGCACTGCCATTATGTGTATATTGCCTTAAACTACTACTTAAAACTACTTAAGTCAACAGAGGCAACACAATTCTCACAGCAGAAAACAAAGGTGAACAACTTGTCAGCAGGCAGCTGTTAGCTACTGGTAGTGCAAAACACAAAGAACAAAATGTGCGTGTGTATGCCCATGCATGTCTAAACAGCACAGTTAGAAACACCTGAACATTACAAGCAAGGTAATTTGGGAAAATGTATTCTCTTAATTAGAGCCTTTGTGCACATACTTGAGCCTAAAAATCAGTATTCCTATGTGGAGGGTACAGAGAAAAGTGTACAGTGCACTAAGGAAGACCATATTTTATAACCCAAACAAGGAAGCCCTACTGCATAATACAAAAAGAAAATGCAGCTTAACGTGGTTGACTCTGAATGAAGCAGACATCAGCTATTCAAGAGCATATAAAGACTCCTCCTGACCGAAAAAATACAGCAATTGTTTTGGTTTTCCACATGTGTAAGTAATTTGAACAGGTCATTTAAATATTTATTTCCAACACACATTCATCTATATTTCCTTTTGCCTTAATTCTGCCCTGTTATCCTCATCAGCTTACTTGTATAATTCACAGAAATTCAAAATACTTACAGTTGGCAGGGCAAATTAGATTATGATCTTTTCCATTGTCATGCCCCAAAATCACTATGTTGCTGATAATGAGAGAATCCTGTACAAACAAACACTTATTTTTAGCAACTGGGTTTCCTTCCAAACCTTGCTTTTTTACATGGGGACATTGCCATCCTGCTTTTTCACTGGGAAGTGGTCTTGCAGGTTCTCTGTATCACCAAATCTCAGCTTCCATGAAGAGCGGATACAAGTTACATTCAGGAATACTAATGCAATGATGCCTGCAATCTTTGGAAGGTAGCAGTGCTTGCACATCATCTATCTTATTATGGTAGGTCTCCACCACAGAGACTTCACAGTCTGAGACCTGGGGAAGCAAAGAGGGGAAATGGCTCATCCCAAATCATGCAGGGAGAAGGAGATGATAATCCCCTTGTGTGCAAACATATTTTCTCATCAGCTTATTAATTGTCCAGCACTTTCCTAAAATACTGCACACTGTTCTTCCACTATTTCAACAACCCAACATATCACTGATCCAAGGAGTCAAAGATGAAGGTTTGTTATCTATCAGGGTCATGAGGGTAACAAACAATTGGTTATCATGGTGTGCATATGCTACAGAATGCTCAGCCAAGACAAGAAAGTGGACAAAGCCTTCTTAAGCAACCGGAAGAAGTTTCATCATGACATGTTTTCACAGCAAACCTTTGAGACATTTGCTGAAAGAGCAGAACAGCAGAGCACAGGCAATCTGGAAAGCATCAAAGACTTTTTTATCTGCAGGTACTGTTTTAAGTAGCCCGGGTACACTGCTGGATGTTGAATAAATTTAGGAAGAAATGGCTAGGGACATGACGGCTGATTACATCCTTATGAGTGATCATGAGGTGAAATAAGAATTTAAAATACTCAGGAAAGCAAAGAAGGCAAATAGCAAAATAAAGATCCTGGATTTCAGAGCAGCATTCTTGGCTTGTTCAGGAAATTGAGATAGTCTGTGAGACCTGAATTACCTTAAATGCCAAGAGACTCAGGAGAAAGGGCTGAACTTAAAAGGCAACCTCTCTAAAGCATATGAACAGAGTACGAGGAAACAAAATGATAAGGCCAGAGGCAAGTTTGGCTGAATGGGTAACTCCTCAGTGACATCAAACTTAAAATGCCATTACAGAAGGTGCAAGCAGGGACAGGCTGTCTGGGAGGAACAGAGGATAGAGACAGGGACAGAGTTAAGAAGGGGATGGCTGGGAAGGGAAACCTGCAATGAATGGGAAAAGCAACACAGAGCTCCTGCAGATATGCCAGCAGCAAAAGGAAGAAAGCAGAATAGAGGTCCACTACAGAGCAGGGCAGGAGACCTCCTGAAGGATGGGATGCCTTCCAGAGGAACCTGGAAAAGCTCAAGGAGTGGGCTCATGAGAACCTCCTGAGGTTCAACAAGGTCAAGTGCAATGTCCTGCCCCTGGGCTGGTAGAGTCTTCCTGCCGCAAATTCCTCCCTTCTGTGCTTATCTCAAGTTCCCACTGTGGTGGCTAGCATGTCTTATCTTATGGCAAGTTCTTTCCATGGCCTTAAAAATGTTTGAGATAGGCAACTGAGCTCTTTAACTCCTTCACAGAATCATAGACTCATCAAAGTTGGAGGAGACCTCTAAGACCATCAAGTCCAACCATTAACCTGACACTCCACTGTAACCCCTATATATCACATCTTCCAGCATCAGATCCAAACACCTCTTAAACACTTCCAGGGATGGTGACTCCACCACCTCCCTGACCAACTTATTCCAATACCTCACCACCCTAACAGTGAAAGAAGTTTTTCTAATATCTACTCTGAATCATCCCTATCTCAGCTTATGACTGTTCCCTCTGGTTCTCTCACTGCAGGCATGCAGAGGAGACCATTCCTCAAATCTCTACAACCCCTTTTCAGATAGTTGTAGAGAGAGATGAGGTCACCCCTGAGCTGCCTCTTCTCAAAACTAAACAAACTCAGCACCCTCAGCCATTCCTCGTATGAAGTGTTCCAGAATTTCAGGAGCCTCGCTGTCCTTTGCTGGACTTGCTCCAGTGACTCAATGTCCTTTTTAAATTGAGGAGCCCAAAACTGAAAACAAGACTTGAGGTGTGTCCTCATCAATGCCGAGAACAGGGATGATCGCTTCCCTAGTCCTGTTGTAGTCCTCCCTAGCCACACTACTCTTGATACAGGTCAAGATGTGATTGGTCTTCTTCCATCACAGGACACAGTGTGTCCTGTACACACTGTTAGCTCATATTGAGCCAGCAGTCAACCAGCGCCAAGCCCTTTTCTGACAAATAACT